GGAATGCATGTCTTGATCAAACAATGAAGTCAAGGGCACAGGTAGCATGCTTGGTTGGCCTGCGAGCATATTGCTTTAATATTCTTTGCCGGACATCTGGATGCTGCATACTGTGCTCAGGGTTTCTAATAACGCTGCAGTTAACGTACCTACAAAACACCATGCAGCTGGGCAGACTGTACCCTCTGCTCGACAAGAACAGATAATACAGAGGGAGACAAGTGTTGATATTGGTATATACTTTGCTTCTGTGCGGTACTGTAAAAGCCTTGGAAGTGCTGAGCCCAGAAACACATCTCAGCTCTTACCTTCCTGCTTTCATCAATGTTCTCCTTCCCTTGCCCTGATTTGCTGTACAAAACAGCCCAGAGAACTTGAAATCATATTTCATTTTAGTTAGAACTAGACTGTAGCTTTTATTTGAGCTAGCCAAGATCTCTTTTAAAGTCCCTCTGTAACTTTGGGTAAGGAAGTTACCACTGATATGACCTTATTACATACAAACGATAAAACTGGCACAGTCCTCCCACAGAGGCTGACAATTAGTTTCTGTAAACAATAATGCAGATGTTAAGCATCATCTTTGCAAATCTTGCACGGATAAAATTGAATCTCTGGAAAAGTATTAATGCTAAATACCTGGGTTACCAGTAAGCCTGTATGAGTACTAAATGATCATATTTCTCCAATTGTGAAAGAGGTATCAGAACATTTATAAAAGAAAAATTACTTCCCCAACCTTGTCCCAAAGAGACTGTAGCTCCTCCTGCCCTCCAAGATCCCAGAACATCAGTCGAGTTTTGCCAACATCAATAGTACCAACTAGAGGGAAAGAAAAATTCAACCCAATGAAAACTGACTGCGTGCTCTAAAGGATCACGCCTACACAATGCCCCTAAGTAGGGATGGAACAGTCTTCTACAGGAGCAAATCACATATAGTACTACTTATAACAAGAGAACAATACCTTAGAAAATAGTGGCCATAAGATTGGGAAGAGTCACATCAGCATAAACAGGATGAGAATCAGCCCGTGAACTCCAAAGAAACTTAGTTTAACTTCTAAGCACAGCACTGAAAGGCGACACACAACTCTTAAAACTTCAGGGTTTTTTCTTCAACAGCTAAGCAAGCCAATTTATTCTCTCAGAAGAAGTATATAGGGAGCGAGGAGATAAGATCCCTATTTCCAGGAACCACTTTGCCCTTGTCAATTCTTCTTAAACATTTCAAGGAAGAAATAACTGTTCTCTAACTTTACAGGAAAGGTGGAAAATTTTCCAGGTGGATTTACTTACTGTTTAAGCCTACAGTGGTTGTGATTTTGGACAAACTCATCCCTTTGTAGTTTTTGTTAAATCGAGTTTTAGTTTGTTCAAGGAAGGTCTGAAAAGGAATAAGAAAGAGTAACTACTCTCAAACATTGTACTGGCATGTATCCAGTAATCTTAACAAAAACCTGCCTTTTCCTTACGGCAGAATCTTGTCCCAGTAGCTACTGCCCTCTCTAACCTTGGAACAAACCACTCCTCTTGTTCCCTATTTCAGCAAAGAAAGAAGAGATCCCAGGTGATTACGGGATTATCAAAGTCTCAGCGTAAGCTTTCAGGGATATAGCTAAGTTTAAATACAGGGAGAGGAGTTGACTCTTGGGGGCAATATCCCTAAAATATCCTGTCACGAGTTAGACTGACCTGCCTCTTGGAAGTTTTGCCTTTGGAGAATAGGAATGTTTACAATTGCACGTGCCCTCCACGTAATTGGTAATTAACAGCACTTACTGTTTTACCAGCATTGTCCAAACCAAGGATCAAGACGCAGTACTCATCCCTCTGGAACATGTATTTATAGAGTCCAGATAACAGAGTATACATCCTGCTCCTGCAACAAATGCCAAGAAATTATTAATAAATGGGTCACTCCCAGAAGTCTTTCATTCCACAATGCAAGTTTTTCCAACATCAGAGAAGTAAGTGGCATTATTCTTTTATCAGTAACTCTCATATTTAGATAACTCCAGGACAAATCATAGATCCAAGTCCACGGGAGAAAAAAAAAAAAAAAATCAAGTTTTCAAATGCATATAAGTAGGGGGTCATCTTATGTAGAGCTTATCCCTGTTTATGCACATGGCCAAATTTTGATAGTGCATATCATCCAGTGCAAACCCACTACTCATTTGAAAATGCTCCTGTCTGTTCCAAGGCTTAAAGGGGATCTGAATGTTCTTGAAAGTCTTTCAGAGTACATACATGGTCCACAGAATGAAATCAATTGCATACAAATACACAGAATGGGTATTTCGAGCAAGAACACGCTCTATACGACTGTATCATTGGCTCTTTAATGGTCAAACTGACAGAGTATCTTACTTTTAAAGGCTTGTAAAAAAGACTAGCTATATTAACGTATGCATTCTCCAGCAACAGCCTTCTGTTCCACGATTCACAATTCAAGTATTTTATCATCTTGCAATACCATGAAGAGAAGACCGGTGACTAGCCAAAAGCACAAGACTGAAAATAAGACTAAGTGACAGCCCCTGGCCATGCACGTACTCTTTTGTTGGATTTGCACAAACAAGGCAGAGAAGATTTGCTAAGATGCAGGAAGTCTCGGTACCAAGCACCACAGCCGGCTCCCTTAGCATTACAACCACCCTTCAGTTTAAACAGACCGGGGGAACCTCAAGGCAACAACTCTGAGAAGCCTCTGCCGTGCAGCGAGCGTGCAGATAAATAATCGTTTTGAAATGAAATAACGTTGCCTGAGGGGTAGAAAAAAAGAAAAAAAAAAAAAAAAGACTTCCACATTAAATTATTGCAACCACATTCATTTGCTACATCATCAACACACACAGTACTTTGGTTTGAAAACCGTTCTGGTTTTCAGCCGTTTTCAGCTCAAGTTTTCCTCATTCAGACTATTCACATTTTTTTAACGGAAAATGCTGTGCAACAAGATTATTGATTTCAAAATAAACTAGCACTATCAACATTAAAATCAAAGAAAGAATGCAAAAAAGCTGGAGTTTTCATTTTGAAGTAGTTAAAGGCCTAAATTCCCCTTACAGGGCACAGGTTCAAAGCAACAAGGAACAGCACAGAAACTTTTTCAGAACTTCCCCATACAGGACCTTCCTTGTGGCTTTGCAGAAAAGTTTGTATGACCAAGACTTTGATTAGGACTAATTTATGTAATGACCTACTGCATTTGTTTGCTTTCCCTCCCAAAGAGGTGACAAGACTACAGATAGTGAAGAACTGAACTGTTGCTAGAAAGCATTAGAAAATCTGTCGGTGAGACCTTTCCATTTTGATGAAACTTTCATTAGACAAGTTTTTAGGTTTATGATCAATTTACTGCAAATATGTATATACAGAAAGTGATCATCCCCAAAGCTAGTAGTGAGAAAAAGAAACCTACCTTAGAAAAAAAAGTTACCCTTCTACTCACCTTAGATTTGGGAGGCACAGGCTTTAGTTCCTACTCCAAGTCAACCACGTTGGTCTTCCGTTTCCTGCGTAAGTGTCCCAATAAGGTCAAATGTTATTGCGGATTACGTATACAGATTTTTGACAGCTTAAAAAACTAGGCGGTGGCGGCTGCGGACGAAGACCTGCTGATCGCTTTACGTGACCTGCTTGAATGTGTTCTGCGTTCCCAGAAAGGACACGGTTAGAGACGCCTTCGTTGTGCTGATAATGGACGAGGAGAGTCTGGAGGCAGCCATTCACACCTACAGCGCCCAGCTGCAGCAAGTAGAGCTGGCCTTAGGGGCCGGCCTCGACCCGTCCCAGCAAACGGACTTGGTTCAGTTGCAGGAAGACTTAAAGCAGCTGATAGAGCTGACTGAATCTAGCCTGGTGTCTATTAAAAAAAGCAAACTTCTTGCAACCTTAGATACAAACGCATCCTCCTCCTCTCCTGCAGGTCCCCTAGAGCAGGAGGCCAACCTAGACAGCTCTGCCCAAGATGAGGAATATGCTGCTTTTAAGGAAGCCATTGGTGAGCTTGGAACTGAGGACAAACCTTCAGCTGCTGATCATGAGATATCATCAAAGAGAGATGAAGAAACTGATGAGAAAAGTGAATCTAAGTACAGTGAAGAGGAGGATGAGTCTGACAGAGAGGAAGAGGAGGAGGAATTGAGTGGGATGAAGGTTAAAGCCCCGTACTACAGTGCTTGGGGGACCCTGGAGTACCATAATGCCATGATTGTGGGCACAGAATACTTAGAAGATGGCAGTGCAGGAGTCAGAGTTCTGTATCTCTATCCAACTCACAAGTCTTTGAAGCCGTGTCCATTCTTCTTGGATGACAAGTGCAGATTTAAAGAGAACTGTCGGTAAAAAAGGGATGGGAGGGAGTTTGTGGCCTTCTTGTTGCTAAAGGCCTTGGCATGCAAGGGAAGAGACTGCTCTAAAAGTGCTGTGTTTGGCTTTTGTACTAGATGGAATTTTGCCAAATATATGTAATTTTTTCTGTTTTTAAAATATGACGTGGTAAATTGGCATCAAACAGTTTGACTGCTTTCTTCAGGTAACGCAGAGGTGAAATGGAAATTCCCATGACAAAATGCAGATGTTTTACCTACTCCATTGCGTAGCTAAACTAATAATTGATTAAGATGTTAAAAAAAGAAAAGTTAGTCTGTAGATAGCACATACATACAGGTTACAGAGAGAAATTGTGGTGTCTCCATCTTAGGAGATTTTCAAAACTTAACTAGATAAGGCCCTGAGCAACCTGATCTGTCAATGAGGCCAGTCCTGCTTCAAGCACTTCCAGTGTGGACTAGAGACCTACGTTTCTGTGTGATCCTCTTTATCGAAGGATCTGTGAAATTTTTTACTGGGTACATCACTAGCAAAAAAAGCTTAATGCTCTGGGATAGAATGCGTTGTCAGATGGCACAAATAATATCTTTAAGATGAAAACTGAAGACTGTCTTGTGTAGTCGAAATAGCGTGTGATAAGACTTTGATAATTATCAGCGAAGATTCAGTAGTGCTGATAACTTGTCACATTTTCTTTCGTGAGGGAAGGAATTTTTATTTAAACCCTTTTCAAGTGGTGTGGATATAGTTCTTCTTTCACCGTTCCTGGCAGGTTTTCTCACGGGCAAGTGGTGTCTGTGGAAGAGCTTCAGCCGTTTCAGGAGCCCGATCTGAGCACTCTGGAGGTGGGCTCGGCCTGCCTGGCAAAACACAGTGATGGAATATGGTATACTGCAAAAATAACTGGTGAGTCTTGTTTTAGTGTGTTTTGCCAGGCTGTTGCATGGAGGATGAACACGGACACTTCAGTGAAATAAAAAAGTTGATTGTTTTGGTTGATGATAGAAAAAAGCTGACCAGGTTTTTACATGCCTAAACTGAACGTTTTGAAATAGCTGAGGAAAATATTCTGAGTTTTGTAGGGCTTGGGATGGGAAGAGGCTAGAAAACAGGAGAACATTAGAAAACAAGGCAACCCAGGAGCAGGAATGTGAGGTTAAAAAAAACTTCGTAGTCATTAGCTGAACTGGTAGGGGAGAGACAGGTATTGCAGGAACTTGCATGAATACTGGAATTGCAATAATCTGTTCTTGTTTAAAGAAAAGCCAGGGGAGCTGGCCTTGCCTGTCAGTTGCTGATACAGGCTCCTCTGTGTCCTGGACAGGGTAGGGGTTTATTCCCGCTTTCCTGCTTTCTTTGACTGTTGCTAGGTCTGAAGGAACAAATCTGCCTTCTCTTTAATTCAATTTCTCAGCAGCCCATCTTTCATCACTTTTAGAAATAGACCTCTAAGTATCAACACAGAAACTGGAAATAGCTCTTCATTGCAGCATATAATTCTCCCTTCTAGACCGAAATCTCAAGCAAAAAAGAATTCAGAGGTTTTTTTTTTTAAACACATGTTCCCTGGGCCTTCCTCCTCTCCCACTGAAGGTAACTGTTCTGTAGAAAGCCCTCTTACCCGTTGCGTATTGCACACTTGAACTCCTGTCCATTGCTTTTCCTTCTGTAGATATCGACAGTGGCTACTACACTGTGAAGTTTGATTCCCCTTTGCTAAAGGAAGCCGTTGTAGAAGGAGATGGTATCATTCCTCCATTACGAAGTGAAGATGGCGCCTCCTCTGTTGAATCTGATGAAGACAGTGTTGATGATTCTGGCTACGCTAAAGGTAGAGAGTGGGGAGGGCCTAAGCAAAAACGGCCTGTGATCTAGGCTACCTCCTCTCTGGGACCTAATGAGTTACTCTCTTGGCTTGCGGCTTTCATCACAAGTGTCTCATTTCTGATGAAGGAGTAGATAATCTTTTTATATGTTGCTGGAAGATAGCAGAGAACATTACATATCTGTTATGTTACAATTGCTAATTACAGTCTTTGTTTTATGCGAATTACTTTCTTGGGCTAATGAAGGTTGGAGGTGTCTATGAGAACTCCTAACAAATGAAAGTAGAGGGTGTAACTTACAGGTGGGTTCCAAGCTGTGAGTGTGAGGGTGTGGGGGTTTTTTTTGTTTGTTTGTTTTTTTTTTTGTTTTTTGTTAATGCGACTGGCTGGGTTGAACTCATAAATAAAACGGAAGACTTCCTAGTCTCTCTGAGAACTTCATGTAGCTCCATGACACTAGAATACAAGATCTCAGTAACTGCGAGTGTTTGGTCCTCCCAGTGCCTTGGTGAGGTAGGAGTAATAGCCCTGCCCTGTTTTACTGTCGAAAGCTGGCACAAAGGGAGCCCAAGTAACTTCTTCAAGATTATACAGGCAGCACTCTCCCTGTGCTAGTGCCCCAGTTACTTCACAGGGACAAAGTTGTGTCCTAGAGCTCTTTAAATTTAGCCTAATAATGATGATTGGATGCTAATAATACAAAATTAGCATAGTTGCCTGGAGGAGCCTCATACTAGGGAAGTGAGTTGGAGGTGCGGAATGATGGAGACTCAATGCCGAATTCTGCCCTGGTGGGGTATGGCACTCTTGTGTGATCATCCCAGGAGTAGGGAAAAGAAGCATAAAAACTTCTGGATTGTTCCCTGTGGAACTATAAGATCATATGTGCATTGCCTTGTGAGTGGTTTTCGTGTTGTGTGGGCCTCCCCTACAAAAGTTCTACCCCTACAAAACTGCTGTATAAAACCTTCAGTTTTGTTCATGTTTCACTGATCTCTCTCTTCTGTGCCACAGTGATAGATTCAGGCGTCCCAGAGAATGGGGAATGGACTCCAGCTTGCAGTTCCTCTTTTGGTGGTTGGGAAGCCCATACTCGTGGCATTGGCTCCAAACTGCTTGCTCAGATGGGATACGAATTTGGAAAAGGTAAGGGGAGAAGGTGATCCCCGTGGTGTGAGGGCTTGAGTGCATATGCCTACTTTGTAAGCTTAGTCTCATGATGGATCCCCGGAGCTGGTTACAAAGAGTAACGTTTTGCATGAGGCTAAAACCCTTTTGCTGAAGGGCCTGTTAGATAAGGCTCAGACTGTGATGAATCACACCTATGTGGAAGTGTTAGAAAGTGAGAAGGGATATTTCATCTAAGTACAGGCACTTGTATGCGCCAATGCCTGTATGGTAATAGCAAAAATTAGAGGCGTTTAGAACCATGGTCAAGCTCATGATTAAAGCTATGAGAACTGTTGTATGAGATGTTCAAAGGCTTTAGGTAGAAGGGAACTGATCTATGAAGCTTCCGATGCCTATTTACAAGTATCTTCTGGCTCTCCACACAGACTAAAAAATAGCTTCTTACTCTACAAGTTGTACTGAGCCTTGGGGGTTTTAGGAGGCTGGTCTGCTACTTGCATTTGTCCCTAGATCTTCCGGAGGAACCAAACCAGTTTTAAGGAGAACCTGGCTTACGAAGCTGAGAATGTGAAGCTGAACCTAGTTTCATACAAACTAGCCTGACAGATGGTCCTGGGCTTTTTATCACTTACCTTCTACTGCAGAAAGCTCCTGTCGTAGCATCCCTCACAAATGTGTGTGGCCCTTGCTGCCCCCCTTAACTTTGATGGTAGTTAAGACTTTGTATCTCAAAAGCCTAATTGCTTATTCTAAGGTTGTGACTGTCAGTTCTAGTTTGTGGCGAGAGATGATTTGGGAAGGGGATGTCCTTGTGATAATGCTTTGGTGTCTCTCCTCACGGCTTCGCCTCCTCAGGTTTAGGGAAGAATTCTGAGGGACGAGTGGAGCCAGTGCAGGCGGTAGTGCTTCCTCGAGGGAAGTCCCTTGACCAGTGTGCTGAGGTGCTTCAGAAGAAGAAACAGGGGAAGCTGGACCCAGGCAAACCGAGGAAGTGCCGAGGAAAGGGAAACAGCGCTAGCCAGTCTCCTGCGGGCAGCCGTAAACCTCCCCGCAACGTGTTTGACTTTTTGAATGAGAAACTGCGGGGGAAGAGCACTGGAGAGAAGGCTGGAGGGACAGTATTGCCAGAGAGGAACAGCAAAGAGATCTACCATGCTAGCAAAAGCACCAAGAAGGCCCTGAGCGTCCGCCTCTTCCAAACAATGGAGAAGATTGAACAAACGCAGAAGGATATCAGAGGAATCCAGCAGGCCCTGGCACGCAACATTGGACGGTAGGAAAAAATCGTCTTTGGTGCTGCAGGATGAACTGATCGTTCTTGGCCCTTCTGGGAAGGGATGGGCTTCAAATCAGGTGTCGCAGGAACAGATGACACGCGCTTGGATGAGACATAAGGGGAAGCAGAGGACAGAGCCTTTAATGTGCTCTTCAGACCAGCTTGGTCACTAGCATATTTGTTGTGGTAATGGCTTGGTCATCCTTTGGGCAGAATTCAAACTGTGGGAGAGAGGAGCTTTTTAAGGAAAGGTACTGGAGTCCTTTCTTTCCCATGCCCACCTCCACAGTGTTGCTGTTGAGCGTCGCAGGAAGACCTGTGTGTTTTCTAGCTCAGATTGTGCTGAGCATCAGGTACTTCCTGGCTTTCAGCACTTCACTAGCACTAATCCCACAGGAAAGGGGGGGGGGCCCTCCTGGGATGATGGCAGGCCTTTGCTCTCGGCACGCAGGATGATATTGTTATAATGCCTTTTACTTTCAGGCACAGCATTGCTACAGCTCAGCTGGAGGAGAAATTGGCTAATGCTCACAAACAGCTGGGGCAGCTGCAGGCCCAGGAAGCCAGTCTGCAGCGGGAGCAGAAGAAAGCAGACACACACAAAAAAATGACTGAGTTCTAGTCTCTCTCAGGAAGGCGTTGAACTGCAGTGATCGTCCTTCGAGCCAGGCCCCGTGCTCACAGCCTCAGAGCCTGCGTGAGCCGTCCCACTCCTCTGGGCCTCAGTCTGTCCAGCTTGAAATCTCGGCTGAAAAGCAGCAGTTTCCAAAACTAGATGCTACTGAGCTGAGCTCTCCTGGGATGGGGAAGAGTATACGACTGTCCAGTCCTGAAAGCATTCAGTAAGCCTGAGCCTCGTATAAGGACTGGCTGCAAGAAATATGATTCCCTTCTCTCTTGCACACCTCTTTCCTCCGTTATCACTGCGGTAGTGCCTCTGTTCAGAGTCTGTACTTACTTGGGTGATAACGTTGCTGACTGTGAACCAGCTGAGGAGGGGCTTTGAAAGCCCCACATCCTGCCATCAACTGTGGCTTGTGTTTGCAGCAGCCAACGGAGCACACACAAGTGGGGGCAGGGTCCCAAGCACGTTCTGGCAGAGCAGAAAAGGCATGTACTAGTGCCGCCAGGTGAAAACAACAACGGCATATTTCTTCAGTTGCACTCTCCCATCCATTCTTTGCTTTGGGATTTCTATGAGGTCTCAGTTATGTTAAGAGTAGTTCCTTGCAGCCGCAGTATAATGAATAGACAGAAAACTGGCACCTTGGAGGTGGGTGCTAGCAGTCTCAAGCAACATATTTCTTCAGTCTGACTGGAAGAGTATCCCTAGGCCACGTTATGACCAAACCCCTTGATTTGGCATGGAAAGTTGCATCACTCCACATGTAGCATGCCAGAACTGGGGGAATAAGACAGCAGAGGAGCAGATTCTCAAACCTTCTAGCTAGGAAGAACTCTTTGAGGAACCTTGTGCTTCTGCCATCATTACTTGCGTTTTTCTGTCCTAGGTGGCTCGTTGAACACAGGTTCTTTTTACATTGAAAATCTCGGGACCCAGTCCTGGGTCAGACTGGGCCTTGGATGAGTACAAAGCTCAGGAGGTCTGTATGCGCTGAGCATGCAGCCCTGACTGTGGAAGAGCTTCAGGCTGTGCTGGAGGCAGGCCAAGCAAGCAAAGTGCCCTTCCCTGCAACATGAGCAGTCCTTCTCAGACAGGAAGGATAACTTCTCCGCTAGGTTATAGTCTGTATTGATGGCAGCCAGCCTTTGTCCCAGAGGAGGAGGTGGTTCCATCAGACTCTGTTTCTGGTGGTACTTGTGCATTGGAATTGTTTTTTTTTTCTTTGTTAGTAATTTCATGCCAGTATCTTAAGGATGCATTTTTTTCTTCAGTTGAAAAAAATCAGTTTCCTTTTGTTTTGTGAGTCATTTTTCTAATGAAAAGTTTTACTCTTTTCATGCTACTCTTTTTTATCTATTTCTAAGAAAATTAAAAAGCTGTCAGTCTGGGCAGGGCTTCCCCTGCATGCAAGGGCCAAGCCTGTGTGATGCACTGCCAAGCTAACTAGAAAATCTAAGGCTGAAGGAGATACGATCAGAGCTGTTAAGTCATGTGTGGTTTAGCATTACTGCAGACACACACAGCTCAGAAAGCATAGAGCAACAGTGAAATTAAGCAAGATAAATGTCTTCAAGAAGTCTGTTAGAGTGACTCTTTCCACCTGGAAAGCGCTTGGATTCTGCTATGTTGGGCACCAAAGTTCCAGCTCCACGGTAGATGTAAAAGGTGACGTGGACTGCCTTGAGCATATCAGCATCCATCAGTTTCTAACTAAACTGGCCATACCCTTTTAATTGTTCTGAATTCATGTTCTCCACGCACTGGGTTTAACTCGAGGGTTTAACAATGGTTATTCAGTGCCCTTCCCTCCCAAGTAACTGTTCGTTTCCCATGCTCGAGTGTTGAGTGATGACAAGGATTAATGTGCCCAACATAGCGTGGGTGCTTGCCGAAGTGGCCCGTGACTGGTGAGCCGAGTTGGGTAGAGAAATCTTTTAGTTTCGCTTTGTGCTCTCGCGCTACTTAACGTGTCTTTTTTACTTTGTAATAATTGGGCATATTAGTCCTATGTCCTGGCTAAGTTGCATTTTGACCATTCCTTGAAATTTCCACAGCTTCAGTTGTCAAACTTCCTATTCAAATGGCTGCTGCACCCTGCCCAAGATAGTTTATTCCCCTGGTGAATAAAGTCTTTTTTTCTCTATGTTTGTAAGGCACTGATCATTTGAAAGGTAATGATTATGGCAACCCATTCTTTCGGCTAGACAGCTGGCACTAAAACCAGCTCTGTCAGAAAGGGAAAGCGGCAGAGGGTGCTGTTGTGCGCTGGGTGCCTGCAGAGCCCGTTTGCAGCGCTGCCTGCACAGCCAAGGCGGGGAGAAACCCAGCCTACCGTTGGGTGAAGCCACCGCCTCTGCACGCCAGGAAGCGAGCTGTGGTATCGTGCTGCGTGGTATCAGCTCAGAGTTGTCTGCTCCAGATCAGCCAAAGGAAGAGTGGGAGAGCTCAGATCAAGATGGTTGAAAAGCTCTGCAACCCCTAATCAGGAATAACTCTGCTGGATAAAAGAAGCTGAGTTCTCCAGGTTGACTGGCAAGGAAGAGAGTAGGATTGGATTGCTGTTCTTCACGCTCACCGGCTTTTGAGTTTCTGCAAAGTAAGTGGTGTTGGCTTTCTTGTCTGGCTAACTTGGGTATATTCAACGAAACTAGGAGTTGAAAATTCTTAAACGTTCCGTATAGAATTTGCAGCAATGTCAGAGATGCTGTTGCAACTAGCTAGACTGGAAGGGCAGGATTCCTTCTCTTTAGCACTCCAGTGTCGAAGCATCAGCTAGTTTGTTTAACAGACTTTCGGTCAGCAGCAAGGAGGTCTGTAAGCGCGGTGCAATTTAATGGTTGGTCACTCTAGAAGTACCTAGGCTTCGAAAGGAGGAAAAGGCCCTTGAACTTGGCTGGGATCGCGTGGTTTGAACCTAGAAGTTGAGTGGGAACTGATTACTTTTTTTGGTGAATTAACTGTTGAGTTCACAGGTGTGGGACACTGTTCTGCCCTTTACCCTAAAAAAAAAAAAAGTGATTTGGGGGGGAACTAGATTTTTTGCTTGCTTATGAAACAGCTCTTATGTAAAGGCTGAACTTCTGACCACGCTGCTTGCTGCAGGTGGGGAGTCTGCGGAGGCTTGAGAGAGTGTGGTCTTTGAAACATTGTCTTTTGGAGACCTGAAATTGCGTATAACTACTGATTTTGTGGCAAGAAAACCAGCTGTGGTAGGCAGGTGATTCTAGGTGGGAGAGGAAACACATCTCCTTAATGCCCTCGTACCTTATTTTGGAACCTGGCTTCCTATAAATGCAGCACTGAGGTCTCATCAGAGCTTGTCCTGCTGTGTGTGGCTCATCTGCAGAAAACCTGTCCTGCAGTTTCTGAGCTAGCGCTTAGAAGTGCTTTTTTTTTTTTTTTTGCCAAAGTGAGTCTGTTTCCAGCAAATACAGAAGGGTGCAGAGAAAGAAAAGGGCTGAAACAATTTCAGCCTCAATCAAAGCCACATGGTATGAACAGAAGAGTCACTTAAAGTCTTAAAACCTTAAGGTAAATTTTCTATAAAAGCCAGTCCAGCCCATGAGTAGCAATCAGGACCATAATTAGAAGCGTTCCAAGTTTTGTGACATTTGGGACACATTTGGGCTTCAGAAATGTAGTTGGCCTTTTATAAATTGAACAACCCAAAAGGAGATCAACCGTGAAATCTGTCCCTCCCTTGTTCCTGCTGCTGAAATGCAAGTGAAGTGAAGGAGATCTTGTGCCTGCCCCATGTTGGAAATATTTTTAAGATTTAGCAATTACATCCCATGATTTAGGGCAGAGTACACGTTGTTGACATAACTGCTACGGGGCTTTCACTTTTTGTGCCTGAAAAAAACCCGTCTGCTTCTGGAGCCTTTTCTTCAGTAGAAATCCCCAGGGTGCCCGAGCCTGTGTCAACTGCCACCTTGATCGCAGTTGCTGATGTAAATCAGCTTGTAATGTTTGTCCTGCTTCCCTGCAAATATATTTTTATTAGTTTCATGGACTTTTTTCTTGTTACCCTGCGCTGAATAGTCTGTGCCGATTTATCGGTTTAGATGAACTGCAGGCCAGGCAGAACTGTTAGTGGCAGAACTTAATTTTACAGTGAATTTAATTTCATTGTCGTGAAGCCTAGCTGAGAAGTTTAAGCCTTTTGTCAGACGAGCTTTTTAAAGCCACAAAAAGCTCCTGAGTCGTAGAGTAACAAATCAGCTGTATTCGTGACGCTTGTGCTCAGGTATCGTGAAATGGAGTTGTTCCCTCGTTGGCGCGCTGTGGGTTGTGGGCCTACGTGTCGCACACCGCTGCAACTGCTGTCATCTTCAAAGGCGTCTCGGCTTGCAAAGCCAGCGCAGTATGAAATGCCACCTGCGGAGTCTCTTACCCTCGAGATTAGCCGCAGGACTTGGGGGTCACTAACTTTATTGGCAGGAAATTCATTTGCACATTTCAGAAAGTCTGTTTAAAACTTGATCTTGGAAATCATGTGACTTAGCTAAACTGGCTCAATCTTATCTGAGTGAATCTGAGCAAATTTAGTCAGGCACTGGATTTTCAAGTGTCAGGTCTCTCAAATTCAGGGTTCTCGGGCTAACAGAGCATTCTCTTTGCCTACCTGAAGCTTTCTGAAAGACTGCAGCTTACACGTCAGGCAGGAGAACTGGCCCTTTGTGCGACTGAAGCAGTCGTTTCTTCCTTATGCCAGTAGAGCAGTGCTAGTAGTTTCATTTGCGCTGGCTGGTCTCAGGGCACCGCTCTGTCTGTAGAACCAAGTGGAGCTGATACAAAGGTAGCTCAAGTTGAACACGCTGAAGAGCGTGCACCAACCGCTTTTGTAGGTGAAAAATCCAAGTGGGACCACTGCCCTCCTGCACCACCTTTGCGGAGGATCGGCAAAGTAGGTCAGAAGAATTTCTCTGCATTAATTTCAAGTCTCTTCATTCTCCGATCTTAGAAATTCAGGGATGGAAAATCCACGCCCCATGGGAGAAGCCGTCCCGGTGCATGCTTACCCCAGCGATAAAGGCTCGCGCTCCAATTTCGGTTTAACATCAGCGTCCAGCCATTGTATCTTGTTATCGTTTTGTCTGCTGACCTTCAGAGCCTGTTCTTCAGTTCTGCCCAGAGTATAGTTGCTTTGGCAGCCTGTGATCCTGTCACTCCAATAAGCTAAACGAGTTCGGCGAGGACTGTCTAAAATAACTGCTTGTACTGCGGGTAATCCATGTAATTAACGTATGCTCAGACAGAAAAGCGGGGTTGTCTAATTAAAGTGTTGTCAAAGAGAGAACCAAGTTCCCTTCCCAGCTCTGATCTAAGCCAGTCTGTCCAGCCGGGTTAGTCCCTTAAGCCTGTCTCAGTTTCCACATTGAAATAATTGCTCTCCAGGGGTTAAAGCTTCAGTCGGTGAAGTACCCGAAGGCGTGGGAAGTTCTCAGATAAAAGGGTGCCACAGGTGGGCAAAGGCTGGCCGATTATTTGGGTAAAGACATGCCAAGTGCGCTGGCGTGTGACATGAGATGCGTAGGAGAGAGGAGCAAGACAGGTCACTTGATGGACGAAACCTCCCCTGAGCTCCTCCTTCCTGAGGTGCTTTCCTCCTTGCAGTGCTGCGGCTCGGAGGAAGAGGAGCCCGGCTGGGGCTTTGTTTGTGGGTGTCTCCGTGTTAGTCCTCCCTTGCAGGGAGCTGACTCCGATTATGCAAAGGAGGCCCGTCAACGGGAGCCGGGCGAGGGAAGTCCCTGCCCTGTCTCACTGGGCCCTGGTTTAGCATACGAGGTTCGTGCGAGGTAGGTTGGGTCTGAAGCTGGTTTCCCAATGGAGTTCATCTGATCTTTGTGATCAGGATTAGGAGGATATGTAAGAGAGTGAGGAAGAGGCACAGGGCACGTGCCCTCAGCAGCGCTTGTGGACGTCATCCTGCTCCGACGTGCAAGCTCTGTCGGCCTTCTTGTCTGGATCTGTTACTACGTCTTCCTTGAGGTATGTTTTACTCCCGTGTTTGCCAGGCTGGAAACCACCTTGGTCTCTCCTCCTGTTGGCTGTGCAGGCATGGGAAACGCCTTGGTCCAAAGCTTTCCCCAAACTCTGGCGCACAGATCCCTAGTAATGCACCAGCCTTTTGGGGCAGTAGGGTCGGAGCAGCTGAACGCTGCCCTCCGGGCTGGCACGGGGCTGGGAGCAGCTGC